ATCAGCGAGGGGTCTGTGTGTGCAACGGGTGCCCCATTGGATAAAGCAGACTGATGGGGTTTAGCTAGTCAAGAAAATGCTCACAACCAGATCTCGTGGAGGGCGTTTCTCAGTTGAGGTTCCTTCCTCTCTGATGACTCTGGCTTGTGTCAAGTCAACACAAAACTAGACAGTACACAGACTAGAAGAGATTGTCTTTCATCCAGTGAAATCCATACAGCAGCAGCAGTAAGGCCGCCTGCAGCTGGATTGGCCTGGACATGCTCAGGGTGCCTGCATCCCCTTAGCCTGCGTGGCCAACAGCGTTCGATTTAATCAGCCCTTTGCAGCAGCACGGTGGAAGCCATTGACAGTGCAATAAGCCAAGGGGGAAAAGGCGAAGGGCACACAGATTAGAAAGGAATTAAAGTGTCACTATGTGCAGACAGCATGATTGCCAATAGACAATACCCCAATAGGCCAACATAAGAGACCAGATGCGTTCTTAAAGTTGCAGGGTACAAAATCAGTATGCAAATAATCTTTTCTCTAATAGGAGCAGGTAACAGCCAAACAAAAAATCAATACCATTTACAAGAGCAAACAAAAATTAAATACTATGCATCCATTAAAAAACAGCAAAATACTTGAAGACCTAAAGCAGGTGGAGAGATTAGTACATTCATCAGTTAGAAGACTACTCAGCCTGTCAGTGTTATCAGTGACAATTTCAAGAGGATATTTTTTAGATATTTACGTTTTACTCTAAAATTTATATTGAGTTAACAACCAGTCAAAATGATTGCTTAAAAGAGAACAACAAAAAAAAAAAATGTAAGACATCACCTGACTCAAGACTACCCAAAGTTTCCAGAATCAAGATGATCCAGTTCTCTGGATCACAGCCAGCCTAGAGAATCCAGCAGCAGAGCCACAGGCACAGGGACAGTATGCTTTCAACCAAGACACAGAGCTGAAACTGATGGGGGAAAATAAGGAGATGTTTATTTATTCATTTGTACATGTGTATGTGTTGATGGAGGTCAAAGGACAGCCTGTAGGAGTCTGTTTTCTCATTCAGCCTTGCGGGTCCTTGGTTGTCAACGTCAACAGCTAGCTGGTACCTGCTGAGCTAGCCCATTCAGCCCTCAAACATTTTTGAATTTATAAATCTTTAAAATCCATTGTTTGCAAATGGAACCGGCATCTGCTAGCAGTTACTGCTCCAACGTGGACAGTTTGTGGAAAGAGTGGTTGTGGAAAGAGAATTCTTATTTAATGCTCTTCAGGGTTTTTGAAAGCTGCAGATTTCTTTTCATGATAATTCACCTCCACAGCAGCAGGCCCAGAAGGACCAGGATTTGAACAGCTGAGGGCTAGGCTGGTCTAGGGCCTTCCTTGAGGCCTCAGGTAGGAACTTCCTTAGTTCCTTGTCTAAAAGGAACTTAACTTGGCAGAGCCAGTAATGGCCTGGGGCCAGGGCCTTGGGGGAATCCCAGCTCTTCCCAACCCCCAGGGGTCACTGTGTGCCAGGACTCTGCTGCACTTGGGTACCTGGTGTTGCCTTCGGGCAACCTGCTCGATCAGCTCGCTGCTGACTTCACATGGCTGTATGATGCTTCTTGCTGACATTGCCCCAATAAGATGCTGTGTTTCCTCACAAATGTGCTTGAATGGGCAGCTTGTGCAAGCTCGCCCGATCCCAAACTTTTCTCTCCTCTGTACCTTCTCATCACCTGGTCATCTTCCCCTTTAGGACCTTGTCACAAGGTCAGCTAACAGTGGTACATTTCAGGGAGTTCTGCTGTTTTCATCTCCACACACATGCACACACACACACACACACACACACACACACACGTAAATATGAATGAGAAAGAGTGATTATAGCTACTGAAATAAATATGCCTCTCTCCTACAGAAAAACCAAAGTCTGCTTCTCAAAACAATTAGGGTACCTATGGGTTTGGTATACTTACCAAGCAGTTAAATAATACTCACTTTTATTCAAGAAATGTCCAGATACAATCCAATTATAGTCACCCCATCATTGACTTTTTGAAAGTCAAGGACTTTTAAGTGTTAATAGCCTCCAAAGTTAATTATATTCTAACTTGTCCAGATTTTATAGGTTCCCCGAGTTTTCCTAAAGGATCAATGCGGTACTCAGCTAAAGTAATCTGTATTAAGCACTCAGCATGGGATTGGGTTATCAGTAAGTGCCCAGCATTAGGGATCACCACCACCAAGCAAGCATCTTTGGGAAACAGAAGGCGGCATTATGCAAGTAACCAAGATGTGTGTCCAATGTTTTAAGATGATGCCTTCAACATCTGTCCCGAAAGCTCTCGGTGGACGATGGCCAAACACACTGACAAAGGAATAGATAGTGAAAAATACTGTCTCCTTCCAGTGAAGGTGTTACCGTAAGATTTACAAACACTTCGATTTTTCTATAAGTGAATAATAACAATGTAGGGGGCATGGGGCACTGATAAACCTCTGCTGCCCAGGAGAGAGAGGGAGGTAGTGAGGGGTGAGGAGAGAGAGATTACACAGGTGTGAGCAACCTGGAAAAGCGATCATTGACATTGGAAAATCTTAAAAGTAAGAAATATTAACCAACAGTTGAGTATGAAACATGAATTGAAATATGACAAGACCCAAGTGGGATGACAGGTTAGGAATGGGACATGATTCGGCCTCTAATGGATATAATAGATACAGGCATCTTTTGGTAGGCAGAACAAACGGCCATGGATTAAAAATTAAAGGTAATAAAGACTTTTATAAATAACAAAAGCATGATTGATTCTGGAGGCAATCAACTAGAAACGCATGTGCTGGAAGAGAGGTGTGTTTTCTGGGCAGGAACAATAGCCACTAGGCATCCATGTTGGGATAACCCAATGAGCAGGGAATGATGGGACAGTCGAGCTTTACTTCAGGTGATCGTTTTTATAAGCAGCACCCAGCAGAAAATGGAGGGCCCCTATCCGTTATCCGTTCTGAGATTTTATAGCAAGGCTCCCACTATATTTCCTTGAACTACTCTCATTTCTGTTTGTTTGGTTGTTTCTGCAGTAAACAAATAAATGGAATCAAAGGGTCCTGAATGCTTCCTACTGATGGCAGAGCCGAGCTGCCTCCTACTGATGCTAAGAACCCCCGGTGCTGCTCCTCACACTCCTACACTCCAAACGCTTGGCCAGGTCAGAAGACAAGTCTGTCAACTTGGAAATAAAAGCGATATCTGTTCTCACACTGGGACAGGTTGACTCGTGTGACCTGGAGAAGAGGGTGTGCCTGGACACCTAGCGTCCCCTGACCCCATCTCCATGTCTTTTTAATCACCAGGAGATTCTGTGAAGGGCGCTTACTATCTGAAAGCGCTGATCAGCCCACGGAATGAGCCGTGAGTCAAACCTTCCCCACAACGGGGACGAGGGCAGATGTTGGAACAATAAAGACGATTAGCATCAAATACCCACCACTGTGTATCTATCAACTTTTTATAAGAGGACTTGTTGTTTTATGGGAACAAAAACTCTGCTCTTTTATTATAATATTAACAGAAAGATTGTTCATATTTCATACAGTTAATTAGCAAACATATCAATACTGTGAACACTTGCTAGATAAAATTGCTAAAAAGGTTTGCAAATAAATATATCTGCTAATTAGATAGTAAAGACCATTGGTGAGAAAAGGTTGTTTTCTTACATTATAATGATCCCATTATCGATGGAAAACGAGTCCGAGGGCAATCCAGCAATATTCCAAGCTCGAATTGTCACAGCTTCTCCCAGAGTGCCCATAAGAGAATAGTCATCTGAGCAGGGGATGTCTCTTTCTTTGCACGATGCTGACCACTCCTTGGTTTGGTTCTTTGAAGTATTCACAGAAAAAGATAGACTTGAGTTGGTGGACAGTTGCCAAAGGAATCATATTTAAACTCCTCAATAACTCTTTATTTACGGAGAAAACCAACTACTGTTGTTTCTGATGCCCAGAAATGACTTGGGTATTGTGATGATTTGAATAGGTGTGGCTCCCATAGACTCATGTGTTTGAATGCTTGGCCTATAGGGATGTGTGGCCTTTTGGGAGTAGGTTTGCCGTTGTTGAAGGAAGTGTGCCACTGTGGGGGTGGGCTCTGAGGTCTCATATGCTCAAATGACACCCAGTGTGGGACACAGTTCACTTCCTGTTGCCTGTGGATCAAGATGTAGAACTCTCAACTCCTTCTCCAGTATTGTCTGCCTCCATGCTTCCCACCATGATGATAACAGACCAGACCTATGAGTTGTGAACCAGCCCCAATTAAATGTTTTCCTTGATAAGAGTTGCCATGATCATGGCGTCTCTTCACAGCAATAGAAACCCTAACTAAGATAGGTATCAAACCTTTCTCAAAATTATAATTAAGAAAGTACTCAAGGGCTGGGTGGTTGTGGCCCACGCCTTTAATCCCAGCACTTGGGAGGCAGAGGCAGGCGGATCTCTGTGAGTTCGAGGCCAGCCTGGTCTACAAGAGCTAGCTCCAGGACAGGCTCCAAAGCTACAGAGAATCCCTGTCTTGAAAAACAAAACAAAAAAGTATTCAAATGAAAATTAACTGTAATCAGTGGTGACCCAAAGCCTAGATGGACCCTGTGACAAAGTTGGTGTTTTGTATTGGAAAGAACATTTACTGTGCACTATTCTAAAGTTTAGATTTACAAAGTAGCCGACATTCTCTGGTTTAGCTTCATTTCTGCTGTTAAGATAAAATAACAAGAAAGATCAGCACGGGGGAAAATGGGTAATTTTGTTCTCAATTAAATTCGAGGTGGCAGGAACTTAGAGTAGCTATCATAACCACAGCTGAGAGTTGAGTGAGGTTGACTGTCTGCATGCCTCTCCTGCTCAGCTCACGTTCTCCAGAGCCTACCGCATAAATGGTGCTGCCCACGTACAGAGTGGATCCACTCACTTCAACTAACCCAATTAAGAAAATCCCTCACGGGCATGCTCACGGACCAACCTGATGGAGGCAACCCGATGGAGACTCTCTATGTGACTGTAGATTGTGTCAAGATGACAGTTAAAAATAACCATCATGTTCTCCATGTAGTGTGCATATTTTGTTTAGATTATAAATATACAGAAAACACTATATTATTATAATATGAACCTAAACCTGTGGAACGGGTAGAGGACACAGAAAACATCTATTTCTGGCTCCCACATGCTGTGTAGGAAGGACCAACTAAAGGCTATTGGGATCTACAAAGGGTCAGGCCTCACTGTGAATCTTGCCCTGTTTAGAGGCATGGTCTGTTATGCTGCCCTGGAACCAAAAGAGTGATCAATACGGGTTACAGACCAAAGGCTTCAGAAATAGTAAGAGACCCGACTGAGAGGAGAATAGGAGCAGACAACAGGAGGATGTCCATAAGCAAAGTGGACAAGGGAATGTGCGAGATGCTGGCACCCATGGGGCAAATGGGGATGCCCTGTGTGTACGCAAGTGGTGCTGGGAAGGGCGTGGCTGTCACAGTCCTCCCCCTCAGGTTCTTACTTAGTGGGCTGTGTCAATGCTCTAGTTTTGCGCATAAAGGTCACGGTAGTAGGGTCAGGGGTTCATGACCTTATGTTGTTAGTGTTATGTAGAATGTCCCAGATCTCCGTTAGTAATAAAATTACAGAAGACATTGTTTTCCCCCATTGCATCCCAGCAGTAGTACACAATTTCAGTTATTCATCTACCAAGGATGGCATCTTTTATGACTTCATTAAAGCCAGGCTCTGTCTCATGCTTATAGGATGTGAACACGGTTTCTTTGGAAGTTAGAATACAACCCAAATGCATGAATGAAAAGCAGAGTTCTACAGCCATGTGTGCATGACAGGTGTTTTTAGGGGAAGGGCCGCAGCAAGTTGGAGCAAGGGTTGGTAATAGGATTAGCTAGATTTCGTGTACTTCCTGGGGATTAGGTATCTAGATAATCCTGTGTATCTCACAAGAGGTTTCCCTGGGAAACTTGGGTAATTTGAGGACCTCTAACAGTGGGCCCCTGCCCTCCAGGTGTGCTGGAGTCTAGAAAGGGAAATCACTGAGCTCGGGGCTCAGCGGACAATACGTGCAGAAGCGCAGGCTTTACCCGGGGCTGAAACCAACGGAGACTACAGCCGGGAAATACCGTTTCGCCCGCCCTTAGAGCTTTTCCAGTGGCAGTGACCGTTTCTGCCCTTTGTAGGGAGACACCTGGTGACCAGGAAGACACCCCGGCCTCTCATCTTTTCATATTATATCACCACTGTTATTTTTTAAGATGTTGTCAACACTACCTTATACGAGGTTCTCTGTGTGCCCACCTGCCCCATGTTTCCATCCTCTTTGGAGGATTTCCTGGTATTTTTTTAAAGATGTATTTCAGGCTCTTATGGTAACATGCAAAATGACTGAGCGCCAGTCGTGGTGTGGCATTTCTAGCTGCCCAAGCCGCAGATAAGTGTTCAGTGGGGGTCAGGGAAGACACTCAGGAGTACGCTTTGAACTGACAGAGATGGGTGTGAGTGCCTGCTAATCTTTCCATACAGTAGAGTCAAGTGGCCACGGTGCTTGTTGCCACCCTCTCGCTGAGTATCTTGATAGCTCTGGGGAAATGTCCCAAGCTTTATAAACTTCCATGACTAAAACCGGCAAGTAAACTAATCCATCACTATCCGGATAGTTAAGTTAAACATCAGCCAGCTGAGCTGCATAGAAGCCAGCAACGCAGCACCCTGGGAGCCCATCCGAACAAGGCACAGACAGACTGGCCGAGCTGAGGAGCTGAGGGTCACAGTGCCTCTGTGACCTCAGAAAGGAAATACAGAGCCCTCTCGCGAAAAGGCTATTCCTAGAAGTTCCACGTAAGGATTTTAAAATAGCGTGTTCTAAAAGTTCAATAACAAAGGCACGGTAATAGAGGCAGGAAGAATCAGTTCTGCTTAGGAGAAAGCCCTCAGTGAGGCTCTGTGGACACGATACTCAAGTTCACCAGGGAAACAATCAGTAAGGCCCTCGGTGAAGGTGGTCTTGTCTGTATAATGTTCAATCTCTGACACGGTTTTAGAATGACTTGTTAGGGCCCATGCAGAGGAGGTGGGGAGACACGCATCCCCTCGAAGGGGTGTGCACGCTGACGCACGCTCATGCACGTGAGTCCCTTTCCACTTAGGAACAAAAATTCCACCACTAGAGCCTTTAGATTTTAAAACAATGTTTCATATAGCATGTTTTGGCTATGAAGCAATTTATAGGATATCTAAAATAGGTAAGGATAAATAATTTAAAATTTGCCCTTTCTTGCCTTACCCAAAAATTAAAGTAAAACAAAGTTGAAAAAAATAGCCCCAAGTTCCCCCACAACAGCAATAACAACAAGTAAACCAACCGGAAGCTGGTGTAGCGAAGAGGGGGGAAAGCAAGGGAGAGGCACAAGGGCACCCCTCACCTGTCTGTAGTTGGACGTAAAGGCCCCCAGGTAGGCGACAACCCCCGAGGAGATGAGGATGTCCCCTGTCAGGTTGATGTACAGCTGCCCGAGCTCCAGAGCCGAGTTGCTCCAGCGAGTTTTCTCGCCTCCCAGGCCTCCAATCAGCTGCTCGGCTCGCTCCAGCTTTTTGCTGCACAGATCGACCTCAAAAAAGAAAAGGGGAGCTTTAATCAACATGGGCAAATAAAATAAGCCGAAAATTCCGCAGCATTCCAAACTCAAGAGATAGCTTTTCTCAATTACAGACTAGCCTGAAGTTCCGAAAAGCACTTTTAAAAAGAAAAGCGTGATGCATCTTGCTGCGATTTGGAAAGTTCATGACACCTCGTGTTTTAAAACAAGTAAATAATTTCAAAAAAGTTCTGGGAATTCCTACAGAGTATTTAGTACATAACAGTACAGGCTAACTCTACGGAAATGAACTTCAACACGGGAGACTGAGATTAATCAAAAACAGTCTCCTGCAAATACAGATGCTTTAAAGCAATCTGACCAAAAATGGGGGAGGCCTCAGGAAGAAGCAGGCTAGGAGCGTATTTGCACAGCGTGCACGAGGGCCGGGGGTCCAGCATGAGCACTGTGCTTTAAAGGTTTTATAAATGTTTCTCCTCCGCTCACAGAGTTGGTTTAAGGCCGCTTTGAGAGGCTAAGAGTTTTAGCAGTTCACACTTATTTACAAAGCAGAGTCTTTCGAGGTGTTGAACGGCGCCGTCCTCGCAGACACTCGCAGTTAAGCTTCCGAGAGAGCATCAGACAACAGCTAAGCGCCTGCTCTCTCCAGCCAACAATCAGCCCGAGTTTATTTTACACAATTAAACAGCGCGAGAGAAAGGGGACGCGGGGGATGTTTCTCAAGGCGGCGGATCTGGGGAGCAGCCCTCAAGCCTGCATCAAATGTTCCAGCAGGGCTCTTGGAGTGAATCACTATAATTTAACTTTCAAGTGATACCTCATTCTTCTTTTTAAATTAAATCAACACATTTGTTTTACTTGTTCAAGATATTTTAACAGAGCTGGGCGGTGGTGGCGCACACCTTTGATCCCAGCACTCGAGAGGCAGAGGCAGGTGGATCTCCATGAGTTCGAGGCCAGCCTGGTCTACAAGAGCTAGTTCTAGGACAGGCGCCAAAGCGACAGAGAAACCCCTTACCCCTCTAGCTCCTCCCATGTCCCTTCCTCTCAGACTGATAGCCTCCTTTTCTTAATTATTGTTACGTGTGTGTGTGTGTGTGTGTGTGTGTGTGTACACATAACTTGCTGAATCCACTTTTTCTTATCGGCGTGTACATGGTTTCAAGGCTGATCCTTCTAAATTTGACAACCGATGAGGGGGCTCATCCCCGGGCAAGGCTAATTCTCCCCCTCTCTGCTTGCAGGTCTCTCTCTAGGAGAGGGAACTCATAACCCTTCCCTTCAGCAGGTCTACTGGTCTTGCCATTGGCCCAGCCTTGTTTATGCCACCATTCCTAGGAGAGACGGTTTCACAGCAGACTCCCTGGTGTTCTAGCTCTTACAGTCTCTCTGCTCCCTCTTCTCCCATGTTTCCTGAGCCATTGATGTAGGAGTGACAGGGTAAAGTAGCCACTGTGGCTGGGCTGCCACAATTGGTTTCTCTCTGCATTGCGTCCAATGGCGGTTTCTGTGAGAGTCTCCACTTGCTGTAAAGAGGAGCTTCTTGATAAGGGTAGCAGTTACACTTGCCTGGGAGGCCTAAGAGCTAGGAGACAGATGAGAGAGCACAGGGCACTTGTCTCTCTGGGCCACGTGTGGGGCCGTATTCATTGCTGCCCTATTGACAATAGTCGGGGAAAGGAAGCAACCTGAATGTCCTTCAATAGGCAAATTAATAATGAAAATGTGGTACATATACACAATGGAGACCACTCGGATGTAAAGAAAAATGAGATCATGAAATTTGCAGGTAAATGGAAGGACCTAGAAAAGATTACATTGAATGAAGTAGTCCAGACCCAGAAAGGCAAATATCATTATTCATAAAAGAAGATAAGTACAGTTTACCTTGGGACTCAGACTGTGAAATTTTATAATGGAGAACTGGATGTTAGATGACATTTATGTGGCTTCAGAGTAAGAATTTGTCTTACGTATTTTCCCAATACTAGGAACCATTGTTTAAAATTAAAAGACACAAAATATCGGTTCTCCTACAGATAGACATGAAAAAGCCAAGCTTTGTAATGGGTCATAATTTTGATGTTCCCCAAATTAAGCCCTTCTTACTCCACTTTCCCGCTCTAACATAGCTCTAGTCTCTCAGCTTCCCAGTGAATCCGATCACAGAACACAAACAATCACGTTGCCATCAGAAAACCCTAAAGAAAACATTCCGGCAACTTCCTTTTTCCCATGACTACTTCTTCCTCTCCAAGCAGACATTTACTATAAATTTAGGCATGTGTTCATTTTAATTTTTTCCAACATTTTTAATTACAAAAACCTGAAAATATCAAAGGCACAACAAACAAGCCGAGCAACTATACACTCTCTCTTACGCTACCTTACTTAAAGAAAACGTAATCTGCCTAGCAACAGGTTACATCTTAAAGACTGACACCATGTCCTGTCTGGGTTCAGATACAGATACAGGGCAGATTTAGAGAAGAAGGAAGTGGCCTGCACCTTTAACCCCAGCACTCAGGAGGCAGAGGCAGGCAGATCTCTGTGTTCAAGGCCAGCTTGGTCTACAGAGTGAGTTCCAGGACAGCCAGGGCTACAGAGAGAAACCCCGTGTGTCACTGTGAAAAGTGTGCAGACATCCGGGTTCGGGTCACAGGCCATAACTAGAAGTTAGGCTATCCGTGAATGAAACAGGACTGGCGAGTCCTGGGCCCCTACGTGAGGGTCCTCGCCCATTTGCGACGGCCAGCACATACCTGGTTTTCCAGGTCAGCTTTCTTCTGCTTGTTCAGCTCAAGCGTGTCCTGAAGCTTGGCCAGCTTGTCCTGGACCTCATACAGGGCAGCCTGCTTCTTCCTGAGACCATCCATAGCGATTTTCAGCTCCCCTTCAGCTGCAGCCAGTTTTATCTTTTTGGGAGCTACAATTTTTGCCACTCTACGAAACAATAAAGTTGGGAAATTAAGTTCCTCTGAACATTATAGGGACCGTTCTAAAGCTCTTTACAAAGACTCAAAACCCTTCTTTACACAGAACGTACACGGATTTCTACATTCCACATTTTCTCACGGAATCAAATCAGATACAAAGTATAAGAAATGATCATCATGACTTGAGGCGTAAGAGACATAAGACGGCAGATTAGGGGCTGCCTCTGAGTGACCCTGTGACTGGAAAAGGGGTCAAGGCAACTAGAAGAGAGGAGACAGGAGGAGAGGAGAGGGCATTTTCTACTGTCCACATGACCAGACAAGCAAACCCAACACAGCAGTGAGGTTTTGGTCCAGCACTTACTTGTCGTAGGAATCCATCGCTATGACCCACTTGCACAGACCCTCAGCAGCTGTTGAAGCGTTCCGAATCTTCTCTGGAACAAAGTCTGGGTTGGGAATGTAACTTTTCCTTATGATATTCATATACGCCGGAGGGATATTGTCCTTGTCGTATTCATGAAGCGACTGCAGGAACCTTATGTCACCAAGAAGTCGCTTAGCGGGGCCCCAGAAATCCTCAATTTTCTTCCCCGAACCTGTCGGGTCGGGGATTTTATCGGCTTTGATGCCCTTCAATATGCAGATCGCCTCCATGACTAGCTTGACGCCTGCAGGGGGGCTCTTCATGGATTTCACCACGGTGATATCCTGGAAAAGCAGCATTTCAATTATCCGGAGAAATAAATGTGCACTCGCGTCTTCATTAGAGCAAGAAATTCAGACTTTCAAACTAAGCCTTAAGGTACACAGAAACCTGTTTTCTGTGTTGGGTAGAAATGGCGGCAATGGTAGAACCATGGCAAGGATTTTGACACACGTTCATTGGGGGGAAATTATAGTGGAGAGTGGTAGAAAGCTCTGGAAAGAGCTGCCATGATGGGGATCAGGGACGAGACTGGGAAGGGTTGAGAGAGGGGTGGACACGATCAAATACAGTGATGCAATTCTTAAAGAACAAAAATAAATAAATCTTTAAAAATAGCAATAATAAATTTCTAAAACAAAGCAGTGGCGGTGTAGTGGTGGTGACGCTGGCAGCTTGGTTCCCCTTCAAAAGTGCCTTCGTCATGAAAATGCATTTCTCATTCAGAGAACTAGGACATCCCCTTGCCAATTTAAAAGGCTTCCTTAAACTGGATGGTAATTTGAGGGGAACTCAACCGTGCTCCCCGGGGGCAAATCCTCGCCATCTGCACGGCTCCCACCTGTGCGGTCAGGGTGTCGAGGGCAGCCAGCGCCGACTCCAGGATGGGCAGGGCCCCGGCCAGGTCGGCATCACACTCGTCCTTGATGGCTTTGGCGGCCATGGCTTGGTCGTTGGCGACTATTTCGTCGGCTTTCACGATCTTCTCGGTCTTAGCGACCTCCATGGACTCCCTCTCGATGATGACCATCATGTCGTCCACCTCCCGGCTGGCCACCTTCAGCTGAGGGTGCAGAGCCTCCAGCTCGCACTGCATGGTGGCCACCTGCGAGGCAGCCGAGTCCAGTTTATCCAAGCCCACTTCGTATCGCTTCTTCATTTTCATCACCTCACTGGAAGCAGAGGGACGAGAGGAGGTGAGACTCGGGGACCTGCTTACCGTGTCGGGGGACATCCGGAGTGCGCTCGAGTTTGGTCTACACGTCTTTCACAGGCGTCAGCTGATTGTGAAGAAACCATGGACCCGTCAAGGCTGGGTTGTGCACAATTACGACGAAACACCGTATCTTAATTCTCTCGGTGTTTTCAGTGCCTCCAGGCATATGACAAAAGCTACAGAGCATAAATGAGGTCACTGGTAACAAGGCAAAGGGGCCTCCTGCCACAAACTGGACACTCCCCCTGTAACACTGGCCAGTCACCTTGTCACCTTGGTGAATTACTTTCAACAATTCTATAGGCTGTTTTTTGTTTGTTTGTTTTTTTTAATAATCACTTACTTCAAAAAGACTTCAATGCCCCCATACATCATTTTGAATATTGTCAGAGATGAAAATGTACTTAAAATAGATTATATCTTCCCAGTAGTCGGAAAGTTAAAGCTATCCAGTCAGGGCTGTATTAGCCTAGGGTATACAGCGAGACCTGTGTTTAAAATGTATTTGAATTTAAAAATGTATTAAAATGAAATTAAAAATGTATCTTGAAATAGTAATTTTTTTTTATTAAGACAAAAGGGACAATTGAGACTGATATTAAAACTCAACATTTTTGTGCAAAGTGGTTTTTAAAGGATATAATAAATGAATAATTTAAGTCCTTTAGAATTTACTATTTTAATATTCTTTAAAATACTTACCTGTGTCCATATATGTTCTCCACTGAGAAAAATCTCCTTATCTGCAACAATTCATCTTAAAATATGACATATTTCAAAAATTCTCAAGAAAATAGCTAGAGTAGGAAAACAGCCTGAGGGAGATAAAGTAACCCAAAAAGGGAGAAATAAAAACAACCAAGGGAAAGGCTGTCACTGAGAAGGAGGATAAACTCAGAAATTCACGTTTTTATCATGTGTTGAATTCCTTCTGCGAAAGCAAAACAGTTGACAAGAGTGTCGGGCAGAGGAGCCAGATTCCCTACGGTCCTGTGCTGTGTGTGAAGTAGCCTCCACCAGCGCCTGGGAGCAAGCCCTAGGAAGGTTTGCGCCTGTCAGCGTGGGGCAGTAACAATACTCATCCCAGAAGACTCTGCCAACTTTAAGTGCCAACTTTTTGGCAGGCGCCATGATGTCTTGTTTCTGGGTTCTAACTGGATATCGAGAGACCTGGAGTTTAATCTGCTCAAGAAGCACAAACGCAAGGTAAGAATTCCAGTAAAAGTTAAAAGGGAACGTACAAATTTTCATTTGCAAGAACATTTGACAGGGAAGCTCTCACCCCTCATCAAAGTGAGCCTTCGCCCTACAGCACGTGGAGACGGTTTCAGAAAACCACAGCTGGACCTGACACAAAGATCAGCGGACAGGAGGGAGCCTGACTGCACCGGACAGATCCATCGGTGGCACAGCAGGGACCTGACACAAAGATCAGCGGACAGGAGGGAGCCTGACTGCACCGGACAGATCCATCGGTGGCACAGCAGGGACCTGACACAAAGATCAGCGGACAGGAGGGAGCCTGACTGCACCGGACAGATCCATCGGTGGCACAGCAGGGACCTGACACAAAGATCAGCGGACAGGAGGGAGCCTGACTGCACCGGACAGATCCATCGGTGGCACAGCTCCTGCTGTGGCCCAGGGAACGTCAGAGAAAAGGCGACACAGAGAGCCTGGATGCCCGGAAGCCTTCTGCGTGACTCCATAAACCAAGACCCGAACAACAACAGAACCCATACCCCTGCTAACGCGGAAGGGGAAAATCTCACAGGCTCCCGCCCAACACAGAGAAGTACAGGCAACTGGGGGCTACTGAGAGAGGGAGAATCAGCCTCTCCCAGACATGAGCTCCCTCGCTGCCTGTCTAATACGAAGTGGTCAGACCTGAAATCACACACAAATAGCAAAAATGGACTCACCAGGTTGTATGGATATATTAGATTGTGTGTGTGTGTGTGTGTGTGTGTAAAAATAATTTAAAAAGGCTATCAACTTGAGGAGGCATGGGAGGCATTAGGAGAAGGAAAGAACGGGAAGGGAGAAATGATACAGTTATATTTTAATTAATTGGCAGGAAGTTATGAAGGGGAAAATGTGAAAGATAAAAAAAGTGGAAGAGCAACACAATTATCTGAAATGCTCTCCGCCATGGCTTTTTAACCTTCCCGTAAGTTTATATATTGCTAGGTTAGCCTTGTTTCCAGTTAGGAAAACCTTAGCATTGCGAGTCCACAAATGAGAGCCTTGTTTATGGCTGATCTCCAAAATTTAATCTCTGAGAACTTATGGTCCTCCAGCATAGGTAAATGGAAAAGAACAAGCAAGATCCCATTCTGAGGTAAAGAATCGTGAGAGCCATGTGGCAGCTTTGGGTGGGAACTGTAGGTGTACGATTCGACAGGAGGGACATGGTTTGACCGTATGGTGTGGACCACAGGGACCTGGACGGCCCGGGATGATGTAGCAACAGACACTCTAAGTGGGGGATGAGGAATGTCCTAAAGCTATCTGCGTACCATCTTGGTCAATATGAGAAACAACACTTCAAAACGCTTGTGCTCTTCAACGAGCCACCGGGAGACATTGAGTTTAATTATGGAAAGACATACTAATATTTCATGTTAAGGAATCTGCTTTAAGCACTTTTTAATATGTAAAAGAATTTGCTCTATTAGGTTAATAGTCCTGAAATCTACTATAAATATAATATAATTGAGCTGTAGACTATGATCTCTGTTTTAGGTTTAAAAAATCTCCAGAATTTTATAATGTATAGTTTATGGCTCGTAATATGGATGTTAGATTCACCAGATTCATTTAAGTAACTAAACTTGATTTGTTAAATCCAGGATAAAAATACATCAAGGGTGAAAATGCAAAGTCAGCCATTACCAGGCCCCCTGCTGCAGGGGATGCTACTTTGCCTCTCAATGAAGTCTTGCTTGTGTTCCCACCACAAAAATAATAAATACGACACAAAATTCACTTCAGAGAGCATTTGAGACTAAAGACTCCCTTCAGGGGTATCACCACAGTTTTCTCAACTTCCGCGGTGAAGGTTAAGTTTTACATTTTCAAATGTGCAAGCCCAGTACTCATTTCAGAAGCAAACAAAGTCTAGGACCAGCTTTTCCGAGAACTCCTGTCGACACTCACTGTAGGGAGGATAGGTCACTAAAATTTTAGAAACTTTTTTAACTTTCAACCTTGTTGTTAATAAATTTTAGATTTTAGAATGTGCATTTCAAGTATTTTTATAAGCAAAGGAAATTTATGCTGTCTCTGAAAACTTACATATGTCTGAAAACTTAGTTTTGAGACTGGCTATGGCATATGCCTCTTGCATGCAATATTGACATTTTCAAATAGAAGGTTAGTAGAGAGGAAAAGCTGTCTATATAAATAAAGTCTGTCTCCGGGATTGTGGTTGCATAGACTCCAACAAGAAGACTTATAAATCATCTTATCCCTAATAAAAGGGAAAAAAATCACTCGCTAATGGTTCTTACTCAACTATTGGATAATGTGTTCTTATTGCATATAATTTTGTATTAGGCTTAGAATTCTCTTATTTAAACAAAAGGGGGTGCTGTAGGAATTCCCACCACCAGGAGCCTCTCAGTTACCCACCCTCTTGGGCATGGCGTCTTATACTATATATGCCAAAGTAAAGCGCGCATTTAGCTTCTTTTCCGGCTGTGAGATTCGGTTGCTGTTCTCTGTTCCAGCAGAGGATTCTGATTTGTGTGTCTACCCCTAAATACATAACCCTCCATTATTCTCAGTTCTGAGCTAGTGTGGGATTTCTTTGAAGCGTCTTTCTTCCCTCAACACTATCATCAAGGAATCCTCGGGATTTACCCCTGCCCTATAGGGCACACCTGCATTCCTCCACATGTGGGGGGCATTCACATGGCCTGAGGGTGCACCTGTGCACTGCAGCTTTGCAGCCAGTGGTCAGGCCGGGCTGCCATTCCTTAAGAGCCATCCACCTTGGGTAGCTGGCCTCTGAGACTGGCCCGTCTCCATCTTCCAGCACTGAGCCTTATCAACGGCTGCCAGCACGCCCAGTTTCTGTTT